ATTGTAGCAACAATGCCTATCAATATCTGATTTATCTAGAGATTGTAAAAGTCGTTATAAATACTGAAATTCGAATTATTTTATTGTAAAAAATAAAGAATAATGGATTCAGTTTAACACAAATGTGATTATTAAGTGCTATTTCTTCCATTTCTTGTGCAACTGACGAGTCTTGACGAGTCGCACATGTGCGTAGTTTTGTCTAGTTGCTATAGAAACATTAATTATCTATGGTAACAAAGCGATTTGTCATGGTAACGAAAATGGAAACCAGTGGCGGATAATATTTTTTAAGATTAAGGTTAATTAGTTTAGAAAAATGTGGTAAAAAGACCTAAATTTTTTAAAATAAAGTTTTATGTATTAAATTGCAAAGTTTTTTTAAACTCATTTTTTGCTATTCTTCATTATTTTTTTCGGATTTTTTGTCACAAAGAATTTTTTTAAAACAAAAATTTGAAAATTATATCGAAAATGAGTTTGAGAGGTTTTTTTATGTCACAAATTTTGGAATTTTTTGATAAAATAGAGCATTGCCTATTTTTGCTTATTTTGACAGATTTATAGATTTTTTTATATTTTGGGCCTGTATTTTATTTCTGAAAAACTTTTTTTTCTATCTTGACGAGTGGCACATGTGCGTAGTTTTGTCTAGTTGCTATAGAAACATTAATTAACTATGGTAACAAAGCAATTTGTCATGGTAACGAAAATGGAAACCAGTGGCGGATAATATTTTTTAAGATTAAGGTTAGTTAGTTAAGAAAAATGAGGTAAAAAGACCAAAATTTTTTAAAATAGGGTTTTATGTAATTCATTATTTTTTTCGAATTTTTTGTCACAAAGAATTTTTTTTTAAACAAAAATTTGAAAATTATATCGAAAATGAGTTTGAGAGGTTTTTTTTACGTCACTAATTTTGGAATTTTTTTATAAAATCTTGACAGATTTACAGATTTTTTTATATTTTGTGCCTGTATTTTATTTCTAAAAATCTTTTTTTCTATCCTTGACGAGTCGCACATGTGAGTAGTTTTGTCTAGTTGCTATAGAGACTTTAAGTATCTAAGGCAACAAAGCGATTTGTCATAGTAACGAAAATAGAAACCAGTGGCGGATAATATTTTTAATTAGTTTTTGTGTAATAAATTTTACAAGTGCATGTTTTCGTCAAAAAAACCGTCGTATTTTTAAAACTAAGCGAAATCGACCAATAAAAGTTTAGCTCAAACACATTGTCATAAAAATCTAAATCCAAAAACGCTTAGAAACATATGGTGTTTCATTTGAAAAAACACAAGTTTGTATTGTAACTCAGTCTTATATAATTTTTTTTTTTATTTTAACATTTAAAGGTCACTAATGGACTTTTCAACTCACTGGGACACCCTGCATTATTTTTTCCATCCACATAAATGAAATTATAAATAATAATTTGACAAAACGTCTTACACAACTCCTCTTCCAAATTCACAATAATTATGTTTCTTAAATCATTCTATTTAAAACTTTTACACATCCCTTACAAGACGTGTAGGTGGTATAAATCACGGAAAAACATCCACCCACATCCTAAAAAGATCACACAAAATAATTATGAAACGACCACGCGTGCCGGCAGCTACTGTTTTCTGATATAATTGAATATTTAATAAAAAAAAATTATTAATTTATTATTAATCCCTTTTCTCGATCCTAGACGAGTCGTACATGGCATTAAATTCATATAGTTGCTATAGAAATATACAAAAGTATGAATAAAACTATAGCAACAGAAGTAAGTTGTCAAGATAACAACAAGAAAAATTTGAACCAGTGGCGGGTATTATTATATAAATAAAAAAAAATAGTCTCGGGAAAACCATTTAACAGCAAACTCGGGAAACTGCATATAAGCGAATTAACTGTATATTGCATCCCCTATTACGTCATAATCCCTGTTGCTCGACCAGTAATCAAGAATCCTCTGCACGAAAAAATTTTTTTTTGAAAAATCAACAAAAACAAATGCCGGTAAAAAGCCGCACACTTTGATGTTTAATATAAATAGCTGACCCCTGCAAAAACTATCATTGGGTCAGAAATTATTATTTAATTGATATTTTTGTTTATTTAGCCATAAAAGCGCCACCTGTTAATAATTAAAAAATAAAACTTTGATTAGGTCAAATCGGGATTTAGATCAGAGAACCACCCCCCCACCACCCCCTCATCTAAAATAGTTTTTGACCTACCCAAACAAACCGCCGGCTGCAACAACACGACGCCGTTATCGATCGAAACACCGCCACCGCCGCCGCCGCCGCCGCACAGCCTCTCGCAGATTTCCCACCAACTTCGTGACACATAAATCACGTCGCCTTGTTCGAAAATCAATTCGACGATGAGCGAACAACGAAATCAACGCGCTCTAAAATTCGTAATATTTTTACCTGTTTTTTTTATTTTTATCTTGTTGCTAATTAAGCGAAAACATTGACCCACTTTCGTGCACTTAAAAATATATAAATAGCAGACGGTTTCATCAATTTGAACGTACTCTCATATGACGACACGTGTATATTTCTTATTATTGTTGCAAGTCATTGTGTTGTCGAGATTATGAATCATCATTTGATACGCTCGAAAAACCACTGTGATGTCAATGACTATTAGCTTACGACAACGGGAGGGTTTTTACCGGAAAATTGAGTAAATAATAAAAACAATCAATTTGGTGAAACGACTGGTTAAAAATTATGAGTTATAACTAAACAAAGTATAAAAAATAATAAAAACGCTTAGTTCCCTATTTTTTGTTCACCCCCTGTATATTTTTTTCAGAAAAAAATTATTATATTCAATTTTTTACGATAGTGACAAATTATTGACATTCTTTCTAGAATTTAAAAAAAAAATAAAATATAGCTTCAAAAAACATACTTTTATTTATTTAATAAAAAAGAAGGGTAAAATGTTTAATCAAACACGAACGAATTTGTTAAAACAACTGGTTAAAATTTATATCAGTTATAACTAAACCAAGTGATTAAAAAACTTGGTTCCATATTTTTTGTTCACCCCTTGTATACATTTTTTCAGGAAAAAAAAAACATATTTAATTTTTTACGATAATGACATAAATTTTTGACATTCTTTCTGAAATTAATAAAAAATAAAATATAGCTTCAAAAAACATACTTTTATTTATTTAATAAAAAAAGAAGGGTAAAATGTTTAAAATATTGCAGCCTTGGTAAGCAAAAGACGACGTATTGACTTTAATAAACAAAAAAATCAAGTTTAAATTATTTTTGTTTTAAGACAAAAACCGTTCAAAAAGTCGTACACCCACTCAATAATAAATTAATAAAGTACATACAGGGTGATTCAAAAATGTGGGACCAACTCGCGAATGGTGGTAGAAGACTTTCAGCTAAGCATAAAAATAAATTTGTTTCAAGCTTTTTTTTTTCGATAAAAACAAGTATGTAGCCATTTTAGTTTTTTGTTTCCACCATTATCCGCTAACCTAAATTCACGCACCCAAGAGATAGTCTGACATTTTTGAATCACCCTGTATTATACAGCGTGAATAATAAAGTATGAAACCAAACGATTTTTTTTTGCCTCCAGAAAACAATAATTAATATAAATTAAAGTAACACATTTTTATAGTACTTTATCATTCATCAAAAAATAAATTAAGCAGAAATCGTTTAGTTCTATACTTTATATTCATCCTGTATACAAATACAATAAATACCAAAAAAAAAAAATTTCACGGATGCAATAAAAAAATCTAAGAATTATGATTTTTTGTGGATTTTTTAGAATATATCGTGACTTGCTTGCACTTTAGAGTAATTTTTAAGGACTTAAGTAATCCAATCCTGAGAAAGATTTGTCCAAAACTTTGTTTTTAAAATGGTGAAAAATTGGTTAAACTTGAATATTTTAAGTTGGATTTCGTAAGATTTTTTATAAAAATTCCCTTTTTTTTTCGTGTTTGAAATAGATAACTTTTTTTAAATAATTTTTCCATTG